TTATATATACTTACTTACCTGAAATTATTTTAAATTAAACTACACGCGTTAATCCGCTAAGCCATGCGTTCACGAGATATTGAATCAAATATTAACACATATAAGTCGTTTACAAATCAATATTTTTTTTATTACTAAGTATGACATATACATAATTTAACAAACTGTATCGTATGACATATTTTCACAAGTACACATATTATGTTCAGTTTTACAATATTTAGCTAGTATTTTTTGAACAAACTGATTTCCTCGCATTAATAATACATAAATACAGTTTGGGTTGTATCTGCAATGTTCGATCCATGGATTGTCCAGCTTCTCCCAATTATGGAGAATAAGTCCGCAGCAGAAGCATTCAACGATATCATCAATACCAGAATATTTTAATCCGCACTCAGAAAGATCGTATTTATTTTGAAAAGAATTTTCAGGAAATTTTTTGTAAGTTTTTAAACGTGAATGGAAAGAAGAAAATTCTGGATACACTAGAGTAGAATTACTTCGTACACGGTAAACTAATGATTGAAAATCGTTGATATATTTTTGTAAATTCATTTTTTATAAATTGATTAAGTAACTTGAGAAAAAACGAGTAACTTAATAAAATTCAGATATAAAAAAAACAAATTATTTCATAATAAGTTGCTTATCCCTACTTTCCAATTCTTCGGAAATTCTCAAAAATTGTACTATTTCCTAAACCAAATAAACCCTTAGACGAGTTAGACGACCCATTCTCATACAGGCCAATAAGTCTCTTGCCCTTTTTAGCAAAAATTTTTGAAAGACTTATCTTCAAACGAATGATACCATATATTATCAGGAACAATATTCTGCCGAACACCCAATTTGGATTCAGATCTTCCCATAGTACTATTCATCAAGCCCATAGGATTGTCGATGCAATATCGCTCTCGTTGGAAAAAAAACTCTACTGTACCTGTGTCTTCCTTGATGTATCCCAAGCGTTTGACAGAGTTTGGCATGATGGGTTACTATTCAAACTCAAAAGCTTTCTACCCCACCCGTTCTTTCTCCTAATTAAATCTTACTTATTCGATCGACATTTCCAAGTACATTATCGCTCTGCATATTCAGAAATAACTAGAATCAATGCTGGTGTCCCACAAGGGGGCATCCTATCCCCAACATTATTCAACATCTATGTCGCCGATCAGCCCACCACGCCTCAAACCATAGTAGCTGATTATGCTGACGATAAAGTTATTTTGTCAATTAGTGAAAATCCGGTAACCGCCTCATCAAACCTACAGCATCACTTGAACTTTATGTCTAACTGGTACGATAAATGGCGTATCAAAATAAACCAAAATAAATCAAGTCACACTACATTTACCCTCAAGAAGGGTGTATGTCCTGCTGTCACATTAAACAACATCCCAATCCCCACATCGGACACAATAAAATTCTTGGGACTCAATCTTGACAAACGACTAACATGAAAAAATCACTTACGAACCAAAAGACTAACTCTCGACGCCCGTATGCGCATCCTCAGTCCTCTATTATCGAGAAATAATAAATCCAATCTAAAAGTAAAACTTCTAATTTACAAAACTCTTCTTTAACCTATCTGGATTTACGGCATACAGCTCTGGGGCTCAGCAAAAAAATCTAATACCAATAAAATCCAAGTATTCCAAAACCTAGCTCTTCGTCGACTCTCTAATGCACCACCGTACGTCTCAAACTTAACATTACATAATGATCTTCACATAAAATCCATCAACGAAGAAGCTCAATCCTTTTACTTGCGCTTCCGCACTCGACTGCTATCCCATCAAAATCCTCTTATTAAAAACCTCTCCTCTTTAACCCTCCCAGGAAATCCGAGGCGAAGGTTAAAAAGAAAATGGTGTCGTGACCTTCTGCAACTACCAATTTAAAATATACACACACTATACATATAAAAAAAAAAAAAAATTAAAAATTAAAAAAAATAAGTAAAATAAATAAATATATATATTAATAAGTCATGCTAAGTGTTGCCAGTGGGTGGCTTCTTAATCAAATTTTCAAGTCCTGTTTTCTTTTAGCACATAAGCTTATTGTACATTAATTGTATAGATTGTTTATTTCTAAAAAAAAAAAAAAAAAAGTTGCTTATCAAATTTGAAAAAACAGTGCAACCAACGTGGATAAAAAAATATAGTTTTGTGTACACGGTAAATATTTTCGTGTGAGGGGTAAATAGGTGGACACTGAGTGTCAAATCACCGTATTGTGTGATACGGTAATTCTGAGTCGAACGAACTGTGAACATACAAATATATACTACTACCATCGAACGTGGTGTCTCATCTAGGGATGTGCTGAACTAGGAATATTGGAAAAACCGAATACCGAATATTTTGTTTTCTACACCTAAAAATACCGAATGTTATAAATTATTATTATTCGGGATCCGGCACAGAATATTCGGTGTTATTCGGTACAGAATATTCGGCGTTATTCGGTGCAGAATATTCGGCGTTATTCGGTGCAGAATATAAGGCGTTATTCGGTGCAGAATATTAAAAATAATATTGATATCAAACATAGTAAGTAGTAACTAGTAACATAACTACATAGTACATACGTATAAGCTATAAGGATTAAAGATTAAACTGATTAATGACGTACAACAATATACTTTTCAAAAACAATTTTATTTCATAGCACCATGTATTTATTATAAATTATAATTTTAATTTTTGACAAGATAGTATGAGATCCTTTCATATTACTATTTAGTATTTAGTATTTACTAATTAATTATAAATTTAATATGACTATATGAGAGCTTTTCTTAATTGATTTCACTTAATAATATTTTATAAAATGTATCTTTGGAGTTTGGACTATTCTAAAAATGTTAAACCATTTATAAACTATAAATACAATATCTAAAAAAAAATTGAACAAATAACAAATTAACAACACTTTATAAAATGTATTGGTTACAAAGTACAAACTTGTAAATTGTAATAACTAATAAGTACAAAATAAACCTATATATGTAATTTAATTATAAAACACAATGACCAGATAATAATATAATATGAGATGATTAATGAACTTTCAATTTTCAAATGTTCAAAGGTACAAAATAAATAATACACCTATAACTGAATTATACAATATATATTATATCAAAATTTAAATTGTACGTTGGTTTTCAAAAGATTATTATGTAAAAAAAGCAATTTTTCTGCATTTCTGGGTAATAATCTGTTTCTTTTGTCTTCATAGATGGTACCAGCTTCAGAAAATAATCTGTAGCACATAAAATTCTATTTAATTAAACTAAAAAATTTTTTAATTTTTGTGTGGTAAACTGGTAAGTGGTAACCATTTAAAATATAACTAATACCTACTGTTGAAACTTAAAAGTTAAAATATTATTTTTTTGAAGTAGGAAACTGAATAATTATCATAGTTAATAATAAATTAATAAACACTAAATAGTGAATACTAAATACTAAATCTGTACAAAGTTAATACTTAATATAATAATTAATATAATATTATAGTAAGTATATTAAGTTTAATATTTTAATATGTTACATACATTGAAGAATCAAACCACTGTAGTAAAATCAGCAGTACAAGGAATAGGTAGTGCCTCTATAGAAATGAATAAATTATATATTGAATTAAGTGAAAAGCAAGGTATGCTATTTTAAAAATTAAATGAAGCAGCTAAACATACACATACTGTAGAAACTTTAGATTTGAGTAATCGAATACATAGTATTTTTACTGCTTTACTAACACAATTTTCTTATGAGACAACAACTATAAGTGCAATAATAACTTCGGCAAGAACATTAATTTTACATCCAAGTTTAGTGACTCCTAGGGAGTTAGCAAAACAATTAACACAAATTAAATTAAATTTACCCATCAACTTAAATTTACCCATGGGAACACAACCTAGCGAAATTTACGAATTAAGTAAGATAACTAAGATGGCAGTGTATTATAGTGGAAATCAAATAGTATTTTTAATAAAAATTCCATTAGTAACAGAACTTGAATTAACCTTGTATAAAATCTTACCAATACCACATCGATTTAATAAAAATCACAGTATAGTTTTAAAACCCGAATTTCAATATGTAGGAATAACAAAAAATAGACGCCAATTTACAACTTTTACAGAAACACAATTGTTAAGTTGTACTGAAACAGAATTATTTAATATATGCCCAGAATTTCAACCAATACAATATGAATCGGTTAGGCAACCATGTGAAGTATCATTATTTAAAAATCCAGAAGTTTTACCAAATAATTGTGAAGCAGGAGTAATAATAATCACTAAAAATATATATCATAAATTAAAATATTCAAACACTTGGTTATACACAACTATTAATGACACATAACGATAACATGTCAACGGGAAACAGAAGCATATTTATTTATTTATTTATTTATTTATAATAGTAAACGGGATAGGCCCTTGACATTTATTTAAAATTAATAATTAACAAAAATATAATACACTATAACATACATAATATTAACAGATAATAATGTAGTACAAAATAATTACACACAATAAGATGATTAGATGTTATAGGATCCATCATTAGCTAGTGCCATCATACGCAAAATGGGTTCATTATATAAGTAATTTGTCGCACAGAACGGGACCCGGAAAGGAGAAAAGTTGCGCAGATTAGCGCCGGGAACATTAAAATTAACCCTCCCTAACATATCTGGAGCGTCAACTTCCCCACTCAAAAGTTTCGATAAGAACACCAAATTAGCATTTTTCCTTCTAGTACTCAACGTCTCCATATTTAATTTCGCTAGAACTGGTGCATAATCATGTGGAAGGCAGTCAATACGAAGTACAAAAGAAGCAAATTTTAAGAATTTACGCTGGACACGCTCGATTTGGAAAGAATCACGTAAATTCTGAGGGTCCCAGATCACTACCGCGTATTCGAGGTGGGATCGCACAAACGCACAATAAAGGGCTTTCAAAGAACTACACATATTGAACTCAGATGAAATTCTTTTTATGAAACCAAGCATTTTTAAGGCCTTGCACGTGATTTTTTCAATATGGAGATTAAAACTTAAAGTCCGGTCAAATGTGACACCTAGATCAACTACATGGCTACCAGAGAAACTTAAACTAGTACCATCAACTAGATAATCGTGCCGAATATGGCTATGGGAACGCGTGAAAGACATATAATGACACTTAGGAATACAGAGATCTAAACCAAGCTGTCTAGACCAAATTACCAGGGCATTAAGTTCACTTTGGAGCAGAACGCAATCACGAGAGGAATCAATGCGAAGGAATAATTTAATATCATCTGCAAATACGAGAAATCGGCAATTCTTTATTACGGAGCTGATGCCGTTAATGAATAGAGCAAACAATACAGGGGATAAGTGACCACCTTGCGGCACACCTGACGTAATATTAACCATACTTGAACACACACCATTTAATTTTACGAATTGTTTTCTACCCGTCACATAAGACTCAAACCATGATAGGAGCGGTTCACCGAAACCGGTTGCACGGA